GCAGTCTTGTGTATGGAAGGTATCTACTGTGCACAGTCTTGTGTATGCAATGTATCTGCTTTGTGCATTCTTATGGGCAGTATGACCTTTTGTTCTCTTCCTGTTTGTGTTTAACATTATCAGAGAGGTCAGCTAAAAGGATAAGTCACTGTTATGCTTCTAATAATTCATGTGCTGAATTATAAAGATGGAGTTTAGAGACTAGGTATTAGCATCTGAGTTATGCTGTAAAAGGAAAATAAAACCCCCAATCCTTTTGCATTTCAGTTTCTTTGCCTGTAAGGTTTTGGGTTTGGTGGAGACGGGGGATCTGTAGATGTAGGAGAAGACTTCGGGACCAAATGAAAGAGTAATGGAATACAGTGAGCAGCTATAGTTTTAATATTCTTTATTATTTTAAAAGTCAAAAAGAGAAGCTGGCTCAGTTCTGTGGCACAGTGGTTATGGCGACAGCCACATGCACCAAGGCTGGTGGGTTTGAACCCAGCCTGTGCCTGCTAAACAGACAATGACAACTGCAACAAAAAAAAGCAAGGCATTGTGGTGGGTGCCTGTAGTCCCAGCTACTTGGGAGGCTGAGGTAAGATGTCACTTAAGCCCAGGAATTTGAGGTTGCTGTGAGCTGTGATGCCACGGCATCCTACCGAAGGTGACATAGACTCTATCTCAAAAAAAGAAAAATAATATAGGTAAGAAACACGAATCTATATAAAAAAAAAAAAAAAAAAAAAAAAAAAAAAAACTACATATACATAAATCAGGTCCGAATATAAACTACTGTTTCTTGGAAGCATTACTTTTTCCACTTTGAAGAGCGTGGCATGATATAAAGTGCTTATTTTAAGAGTCTTCTAGGCACAGCCATTCCTGAGGCAAGAGCCAGGTTTCTGGGACCCAATTAGTAGGCTTTACTTCCAGTTTTTGAGCTCTGTGGTAACACTATAATGTTTATAGCATGTGCAATCCTAAAGCATTGTTTTAACTTCCCATTTCAGGAGGACTTGGCCCCAAGGGGGATAAAGGAAACATTGGCCTGCCAGGAGTGAAAGGCCAAAAAGGTTCCCCTGGGGACGCCTGTGAGAACGGCACCAAAGGAGACAGAGGGGACCCAGGGACAGCGGGCCCCCCAGGCTCCAACGGAGGGCCTGGGGCCAAGGGGGACAAGGGGGATGCGGGGGAGAAGGGCTACTGCGGAGAGTCTGGGGAGAGGGGAGGAAAAGGACAAAAAGGTGAGGGGGGTGTGAAGGGAGAAAAGGGTAACAAAGGGGACCTCGGAAGGGAAGGCAGAAGTGGCCCCGATGGTCTGCCTGGGGCCAAGGGTGATCCAGGCCCTAAAGGGGAAAAAGGGGACTTGGGACCTCCTGGTTTCCAGGGACCTGCTGGGCCAAAAGGCGAGCTTGGGAGCAAAGGGGTCCGAGGCCCTACCGGGAAGAAGGGCTCTCGGGGCTTCAAAGGCACCAAGGGCGAGGTGGCCTGTGTCCCGCAGTCGGCTTTCAGCGCTGCTCTGTCAAAGCCGTTCCCTCCTCCCGACACCCCTATCAGGTTTGAAAAGGTTCTCTATAATGACCAAGGGGATTACAGTCCCCTCACGGGCAAGTTCAACTGCACCCTTCCTGGGACGTACGTCTTCTCCTACCACCTTACCGTGAGGGGCCGACCTGCTCGCATCAGCCTGGTGGCCCGGAATAAGAAGCAGTTCAAGTCCAGGGAAACGCTCTACGGTCAGGAAACGGACCAGGCCTCTCTGCTCATCATCCTGAAGTTAAGTGCGGGAGATCAAGTCTGGCTTGAGGTGTCAAAAGATTGGAATGGGGTGTACGTCAGCGCTGAGGACGACAGCATCTTTACTGGGTTCCTTTTGTACCCAGAAGAAACTCCTGGAATTTCACCATAAATTTGTGTCTTGAACATTGTAGTTTGGGTTTAGTGCAGCCGTTCTCCACCTGTGGGTTGGGACCTCCTTGTAACAATGAAAATACATCCTGCATATCAGATATTTACATTATGACATAATAGTAGCAAAATTGCTGTTATGAAGTAACAATGAAAATAATTTTTGGTTGGGGGTCACCACAACATGAGGAACTGTATTAAAGGGTGGCAGCATTAGGGAGGTTGAGAACCACTGGTAGTGGAATAAATCAGTTAATATAAAGTAGTACTTTTGAAAAAATAACTCTTTTTTTTTCCATGATTATAAAATCAATACAGAAAATTTCTGAAAATTAGTCACCTGGAGTTAATTACTATTCCTATTTTAAAACATAGCATTTAAAAATATTCATCTGTTTGAAAGCATATTTCTATTGAATTTATAGTTAGCTTTTTCCTTATTTTGCATTATAATGGCCGTTCTCAAGCCATTTGAACAATATTTGTATACAAAAATATGAATGAGATTTGTAGTTAAGAAATATGTCCTTATTAGATATATCATATAAATGTGTGTCACTTCCTTCTGTGTGAATGTGAGGCCAACAGCTGTCATACTATGATACCGGGTTTTTCTTAAAACTTTTAATGGTCTTGGGAGGGTTACTTTCCAACAAAATAGAACTATTCTTGTGTTAATTCGATTCAGGAAGATTACACAGAAAGAGTGGCAAAAACAGTCTAAAGTGTCTCTAATATTCATCCATGTGTAAGGATTAGCTCATCAAACCTTTATTATATGGACTTGTGTGCTGGGTAACATGTAAAAAAGTCAACAAAGCTACTGCTCCAGTGTAGCAGAGACGCTATCCTTTATCAAATTAGTGTGCTTAGAAGAACTGAACATCTCCAAATGATTAAAGAATAACATTAAATCATCATTGATCTAAATTTTGGCCTTTTCTTCATGGTAAAACATTTAATTAGGCTTAATTCTTTGGCATCATTATCATTATCTTATTAATAATTAATTCTAGTTACTCAGCGATAACATTGCTGGAGCGGGTAGGGGTTTGGGAATTAATTTGCAATGTGAATGTTTAACAACTGAGAATATTTGGTGATTCAGTGGTTTCATTTTTTTAAAAGCAAATTTTATTGAATCCAAATTGAATTAGTTTCTATGAAAGTATAGTTATGCAGATTGCAAATCTTGGTGCGTCAAGCCAGGGAGTGGGTGGTCGAGAGCTTCATGATCTTGCCCAGCCAGCTTTGGCAAACATCATTATTCAGTTGAGATTATCCATCTATCTATCCATCCATCCATCCATCCATCCATCCATCCATCCATCCATTCACCTATCTATCTATCTATTCATCCATCCATCCATCTATTCATCTATCTATCCATCCATTCATCTATCTATCTATCTATCTATC